ATCGGGGCAGTGAGCAGAAATTCGCCCCTTGCGATGCACGAGATGCTCCGACGAGGCGGTGCGCGGTGGCGGCGCGTAGGAGGTTTCGGGGTTCGATGCCGTCCTGTCGGCCCTGTCCAGGCTGTCGGGCCCGTCCCGGCCAGCCGTCACACGGACGGACGCCGAGATCCGTATCGCCGCACTTACCGGCCCGACGCGCAGGGAATGGGAGATGCAGCGACCGCAGCGAAGGAGCGACGAAACGAAGAAAAGTCGAATTCGGTCAGCCGGAGAGGAGAGCGGGGGCAGGGCCGGACTGGGATTCGGCCAAAAGGGAAAGGCCCGGAATAATAACGAGACTCGCCGATTCGCGCCCCGCTTCACCGCGGCGGCCCACAGTGGACCAGCAGCGCCGCAGCGCACACCGTGATCGGCATGACGCTGCGAACAAGGGGCGCTTATCGGCAGGACGTCTCCGCGCGTCGGCGGGGCGGGGCGGGGCGGGGTCGCGTCGCTGTGCCCTGTCATGGTCCCGGCCCTGCCTCTGATAATGTCCCTGCGATTAAAAACACAGGCGGAGCCTTCACTCGGAGAGATGATCGAGATGATCTAGATTACCTTGTCCACGCCGCGCGCGCCGCGCGCGCCGCGCCAGCCCCATCGTTTTGTCAGCTCGTGTCAGCTTGTTTGTCAGTTGTTTGTCAGCACCCCGGCTGACTGACATGTCGGGAGGCCGCTATGACGGTGCACGTTCGTCTCGTGTGTTTTTGTTTGTTTGTTGTCTTTGCGTCTTTTTGTCTTTTTGCGCGACGCCGTGCGTTGCAGCGTGAACGAGGCGCGGAGCTGAGAGCAAGGCGAGGCGAGGCGTCTGCCGTCGCGTCGCGCGTCAACTTCACGGCGACGCTTTCAACGCCTCTGCCAGCGTCATCTTCTTCGTGGGTGAGAGCGTTTTCACGCACTCGGGGCGTCTCTCTGTCTCTCTCACTGTCTCGCTCTGTCCCACGGTGTGGTGTCGCTACGTCTTAATTACATTGGCGGTGCATTTTCCCTAAGGAGCGTCGCCCGCGTCGCCAGCCACGGAGCAGAGGCCGATTCCTCCGTCACCATGTCTCTGCCGCACTCGCGGAGGGTTCCGTGGGAGTGCTACAATGAAGCACTTTTCGGACCAGCCTGCAGGGCCGTCTTAAGCATGCCAAACAGTGAGCCAAAACGGAGAGAGGTCGAACGGAGACTGCTGTCCCCCCCCCCCCTCCGGGCCGTACGGTACGGGACGGTGCGGCCGACGGGAAAACGCCAAAGCCCATCCCAAGGCCGCAGGGCAGGCTGCCCGGCCCGGCGGTCGGCAAGGGTTCGTGTCCGGACTAATGTATCAGTGCAATTATAGGAGCCCTTAAAAGGACGCTGCTGCGCTGCCCAGCCGGGCCTGCCCGGGGAGCGACAGACAGGCCGCGCCGGCCTTAGGCCCGTGCTGCGCTTGGCTCTGCTGCACACTGAGAGTCGTCTTCGTCGCTCTGTCTCTCTCGCACCTTACAGGACGCGCCATGAGTGCGAGAGAGACAGCGCGACGAAAACGACTCTCGGAATCAGTGTGCAGCGCTCGGCCGGGCAGGACGTTCTGTTTGGAGAAGCCGCTTTTCGAGGCGTGGCGTGGCGCACTGCGTCTCCGTACGTACTGCAACGGGGCCTGCCTGGCCTGCAGTCACTTGCAGTGCTGCGGCGGGCCGGTGACGTCACCGCCATAAATCCTGGCGGCGCGGCGCGACACGTCGGCGGATTGAACACCGAGTTTATCATCATTACGGAAGCACCCGTCCGTGCCGGTGCGCCGCCGTGCGCCGCCGGGGTCTCGGCCTCTGTGGAGGCGCGGCGGGGTGGGGCGGGGCGGGGTGGCGACTTACTCGTGACGGAAACGCTCAATCCGGAGGCCGCGATGCACCGCGTGGTGTGCTGCGACGTCGCCGACGCGCCACGCCGTGTCGATACCCCTCGCTGCCCAGCTTGCCGAGGGAGCGCGGAGTATGGACTGCGGGGGCCTGCACCTTGTGGTGCAGCCGGGCGGCAGCGCGGCAGGTGGGGCTCCGACAAAGTTCGGCCGTCCTCATCGAACGGTGAACGGTCCGCGTTCTGTGACAGGGGCTGAAGAGGGAATGCTGTGGCGCAGAATGCTCTACCCGCCGACCGCGACTTGCCGACAGAAAGTCTGGCAGTGCCGAAAGAGATTCGGTTTGTTTGGCCAGGGGCGTGCCCGGCCGGCGGGCCCGGCCGAAAGGCCCGCCTCTCGCAGGGCAGCGCTCATTCAATTTGGAGCTCTTTGACGCCTTGGAGAAACTCGGCGCCGCGGGGCTGGGTCCGCTGGGTCTGCTGGGCCCGGCGTCAGTGGGCCTGGGCCTAGGGTGGCCGAGGGCGGGCCCCGCCTCGCGCACCGCGCACCTCGCGTCGCTCGAAGCGCGGCAGAGCGACGGAGATGGATGCGCGGGCCGCCCTGATCACCGAAAGGCCCGAAGAGAAATACACTTAGTCCGGGCCGACGCCCACCGCGAGGCGGACGCCCGCCCGGCCCGCCAAGGAGAGCGTCGCGACGCACTGTAGGAGGCACGCCCACCGCAGCGACCGCTACGTGACCGGTAACGAGCCTGTCGCGCCGCCAAGAGCGTCGCGGTCCGTCCCAAAGGAAAGGCACCCCAGCCTGGACCGCGGAGCAGATCAGACCGAAAAAACTGGACATATCCCAAAAACCGAAGTAAAGCAAGAGGCCTCCTTATCAAGCCTAGGGAGGGGGTGTAGAGTTCCATTTTCTTCTTTCCATTTTCTGCGGTCCGGCGGTTTCTGTAGCAGAAGCAGCAGATCCCGGAACCCGGGCCGAAGGAACGCGCCCTGCGTCTCGTCGTGCCTACCGCGGTGTGACGTCACGAGGCATCCGACCCGAAAATAGGATCGAACTGCATTCCCTGCTAATTGCTTTGGCCCCGCTCGAGGCCATGCAATCGGCCTGACCACGTCCCGGCGACCTGACCCACGCGGAAGCCCAGGACGAGTCCTGGAGTGAGGTCCTGGAGTCCTGAGGTCCTGGAGTCCTGAGGTCCTGGAGTCCTGCGGTCCAGGAGTCCCTCCTTGTTTTTTTTCCAGAGCCCTGGCAGTGCCGCGGTGCGCCGACGCACTGCGACGCACGGCGTGCGTGTCGCTGGACGCGCTGGCCGTCCCGCACTGCGTCCCCGTGCCGTACGACGCGGTGCGCAGGGCAACAAAAAGAGAGAGAAAGAAAAAAAAATCGGACAGACAACACAACAACTCCGTGGTGGGATGGGATTTCTCTCTTCTCGTTTGAGTGACCGTTCCCTTTCCCACTGTCACGAGGCACTAAACGGAAAGGACTCGGACACATTTTTGTACCGGCTGAATGAAATCCGTGTGCGGGTGTGGGGTGCAGGGCAGGGATCAGGGTAAAGGGAGGGGGGGGGAATCATTGGACCCATTAGCCGCGCAGCCTGTCACCGCTAACTGTTTGATGTACCAGGCTACACGAACTGACACAATGTTACACGAGTACCCGATCAATCTATTCCGAGGCGGAGCCCTGTCCAGTGCCGCCACGCCCTGCCCGCCCCGCCCCGCCCCGCCCCGCCCCGGGGAGTCCTCGCTGCATCGCCACGAATCGATCACCTCGCAGGCAGGAGGTGCAGGGGTCACCAGGACGAGCCGCGGGCGGCCGGACGATGGCCAAGGCTGGCCTGGCTTGGCCCACCTCGCTGGCGCACTTCTTCTCCTGCGGGACGAGGCAGGGCGCGGCGGGGCGGGGCGTGAGACCCTCGTCTTCCTCGTCCCAGCCTGTCAGCCCGCTCCCTTATCCACTGCGCCCGCAGAGTCGAGCGTAGGCAACCCGCGGCGCCGCCTGGTGGAAACGACGGAAACGGCGGAAACCCCGATCGCGTCCGTTCGCTGGGAGACTGGCTTGGCTGTCTTGAATGGCGCGAGAGTGAGCCGCGTCTTCCTCGCGGTTTCTTTGTCGCACCACTGCTTTACGGACGCCGCGCCTCGCCGTGCCTCGCCGTGCCGCGCCGTGCCGTGGCCGCGTCGCTGCGTAGCGCGAGCACTAATTGCAGGGGAGCTATAACCTCTGCTATCTCCGCAGGTGCGGCGCACAGGCGCACGACCGCGCCGTGCCGAGCCGAGCCACTCTTTTAATTATTATTTCGTGTGAGTTAACACTAGGCGCTGCTTTAAATAGAAACATAAATACGGGGCGGCGCGGCCCGGCCAGGGCGCGGCCGCAGGCCCGGCCAGTCCGGCGCGGGACCACCTTGTTATTCCATTTGCCGGGCCCGTGCGCGAGCGCGGGCAGGAGCCATGTTCTTTTCCTCGCTGTGAACGGGAGCCACTACGGATCTGGTTTGTCTCTGCAGAGCCACACCACCATAAAAACAGTCTGTAATGCCCTGGGCACAGACGCCCTGTATAACGAGAAATGCACGTAAGCGGAATACGCGCATTCCGGGGTCAAATGGGACCAAAATGTTGCGTATCTGTGTGGTAATACACTGTGCACGCTTGTGCCTCGCGGACTGGCCGCGCAATGGCGGCGCGTGCGGAAAGTCGTTGCGTTGATAAGCGGCCGATAAGAAGGAAAGAGCGATGGTCTCGGCGCCCGCGGCTGCCAGCCTTGGCTGCCCCGCCAGCGGCAGCCAGCCCGCGGCCAGCCCGAGCTGGCGGCAGTCAGTCCGCCAATTAGACGTTGTTACGACCTGGGGTGGATTTGGATGCACTTCGTGGCCATTCATTCATTCATTCATTCATTCATTCATTCATTCATTCATTCATTCATTCATTCATTCATTCATTCATTCATTCATTCATTCATTCATTCATTCATTCATTCATTCATTGCATTTGTGTAAGCTTGGACAAACGGGTTTAAATGAAAATACATTCACCGAATGGAGGCCTTGGGGTCTTTTTTCAATTCTGAAATCATTTATTTACATCAGAGAAGTAGTCACAGAGTAACAAGGATTGAAGTCCTACACTAAACATGAAATACAATTAAATTCCTAAATAAATAGAAATAAATAGTGAGAAATATGAATTGACAAGGCGTCTTAAATAATAAATAACAGCAACATGCTGAGTGAAAAACAAATCAGTGGTTAAGGTTGCAGTCTGAATAAAATCATTTGTTCACAATGTCACTCTTAAAATAAATAACAACACACGCAACTCTCATGCACTCAAACACACATTCACGCTTCTTTCTCACGAGAACGAAAACATAATAATAACAATGATATTAGCCGTCAGGACGAATCCTAAAAAAAATGAAGGGCATCACAACAAACGACTTACTCGCACAACGCGCTGCAGCGACTGGGCTAAGCCCCACTGCAGTCCGTCCCTCGCTAATCCGAGCCATCTTCCGCGACACCCGCATTGAGGAAGCGAAGTGAGCGAAGCACATTGCTTTGTGAGACGTCTTTTTATTTTCGCTTGTGTCTGCAGCCCACAAGACCTGTATTTTCTTTCACCCCACCCATATTTACCGCTATATTTTTTTTTGTCTCATGCTACTATGGAATGTGAGTCTCTTGAAAATGTCAACAACACACGGTCGTATAAGAAATTAAGTCAAATTTTCCTTTGCTCCAAAACTTTTTTTTTTACGCTTTTGCACTAAGTGCTCAACTTTGACGTGGTGGCAGGCCTCGCCGCGCCTATGGAAATTTACTGCGAGTCGGCTACACTGTGACAAGTACGGCTGCAGTTGCTGCAGGGCGGACGCACCGAGCCTCCTCGGCCTCCTCCATGGCCACCTCCACGGCCTCCTGCGGGTCCACAACAGGTGTCGACTGGCCAGCCCAGCCCCTTGGGCCCTCATTGCTTTGTCACGCGCAGCGGCAGAGGAGGGGGGAGGGGGGCACAGGACAGGCCTTCATTTAATTCCGCGCCAACGCCAGCGCAACGCGACATCAACAAGCGAGTGTAATTGAAAATAACCTGTCGAGTGTCGACGGGACCTCCTCAAGCCTCAGCCAGGCAGGCAGGCAGGCAGCCAGGCTGCAGCCAGCCCACCCTGTAATTCCGGCGAACAAGGAGGAAGCGGACCAACGCGATGCCCTTCGCGTCGCCGGTCAGGCCTCCCGCAGTCTCGACAAAAAAACAACAACAACAAAAATCACGTTACAGCCGGAGGTGCTTCTCTCTCTCCTCCTATCAACATCTCTAAAATTTGAAACCATCGCTAATCTGCATCTGGAATTCACGGCACAGTTATCGTTTCATTTTGAGCCGGCCGCGTCGAAAGGACCGGCGAAACAACATTATTCCGGTGAGGGGCGCCGCTATCGACGCCCGGATCTGAATGCGCCGCGCCGTAAACCCGATGGTCCGGCCGACGGGCCTCGGGCAGACGCCTCACGGGTAGAAGCTGCTGAGCGCGTCGCCGTACAGCGTGTCGTAGGAGTCCCTGAGGATGAAGATGTCGCTGGGCCTGCCGTTGAACACGTAGGGGCCCTTGTTGAGCGAGAACATGGCGGCCTGCTGCTGCGGGGGCCGCGCGGGCCGGACGGGTCGCTGCGGCTGCGCCATGGGCTGCGCGCTGGGGCCCCACGACGGCTGGTACACCCCGGTGGGCTTGCCGTTGCTCATGAAGGCCAGCGGCAGGTTGTAGAACGGGCTGCCCCCGGCGGACTGCGGGGGCGGCGGCGGCGCGGCGGCGGCCATGCTCGCCATGCCGCCCAGCGGCCGGCGGTTGGGCGAGCTGACGTAGCCGACGCCGGGCACCAGGACGTAGGGCGAGGGCGGCAGGCGGATGTAGTAGATGGGCGAGTCGGGCTGGTTGCGGTGCCGGAACGGCGCGGCGCGCGACAGCAGCTCGTTGCCCTCCTCGTCGGCCAGCGTCAGCCCGGCCTCGTCCAGGTCCAGCGGCGAGAACTCGCCCTGCTGCACCATGGGGTTCACGGCCAGGTAGCCGTCCATGTTGAGGTACTGCAGCGCCTTCTCCTGGCGGCTCGACACCTTCTCCTGCGCAGCAAACACAGTGGCTCAGCGAGCTGCCCGTCGACGACACGGCGCGGCCAATGGCGAGGCAGCGAGGCGTGGCGACGCACGTGCGAAACCGGCGCGCCGGATTGCCGACATCATCTTTCATTGTCCCCGTAATGAGGCTACAAACAAATAGAGCTGGCCCGGCCGCGCCGGCCCACCGTATTTCTGCGGGGCTTTTAACAGCTTTACGCCCGCCTCGTTAACACGCCGGAAGCAGGCGGGGCAGGCCGAGCAGCGGACTGAGTCCGAGAGTCGTTTTCGTCGCGCTGTCTCTCTCGCACCTACGCGGTACGCCCCGTGAGTGCGAGAGAGACAGAGCGACGAGAACGACTCTCGGAATGAGTCTGCAGGCGGGCCGGGCCGGCAGTCATTTCGCCGGCGACTCGCATCGCCGGGGATCTCCCGCAGCACACGACACTACACTGTAGCCTGTGGCGCGGCCGCGCGGAGTCAAGGGGACGGGGCGAGCCGGGCGAGCCGGGCAAGGAGACCACACTGGCGCGTTTTACGGGCCCCTTATATCTCGTGGACGGCGACCGTAACGTGCGTTATGCGAAGCGAAGGCCAACAAAGCCCGCAGACTAATTTGCGAGTCGGGTTTGCCTTTGCGCCTTGGGGCGTCCGGCCCGTCGTGGTGCGGTGTACTTCCAGTGCAGGCCCGGTCTGCAAATTTGGGGATCTGACAGGGAGTCATCTTACCGCTGGCGCCGAGGCCATCTCCTCCGCCGCGTCGCTCAGCATGTCGTCGGCCAGCACGTCGGAGTCCAGGGAGCGGCGGCGGCGCCGCGACGTCGCAGGGGGCGCTGCGTTCTGGGGACAGGGAGGCTGCGTTGGTAACAGTGCCTGCGGTTCGACCACCAGATCGCGGGCTGAGTCCTCACCTCCGCCAGGGCGTCCAGTAGCTGGTCCCGGGGCCCGCTCTCGTCCACGGCGATGGTGAGCGCGGCGCTCTGGATGGCGTTGACGGGCCGGGAGTTCTGCAGCCAGGCGATGCCGGGCCGGCCCTGCAGGCTCTGGAAGGGCCGCACCGGCAGCTGGGACTCGATGTTCTGCAGCGGCCGGATGGGCACGGCGCTCTGCAGCGTGGCCAGCGGGCTGAGCGAGGTGGCGCCCTGCAGGGCCTGCAGCGGCCGCACCGGCACGGCGTTCACCACGGCGGACTGGAACACCTGCTGCAGGAGCTGCCGCGTCGAGGCGGGCGCGGGCGGCGGCGTGGCGGCGCGCACCAGCGAGAGCAGCAGCGGCAGCAGCGGCGACAGCGGAGACAGCCCGGCCGAGCGGCCCGAGCGCCGGCAGCAGCACCGCGCACTGCAACAAGAAGGGCGTCGTGGTCAAGGAGGGCCTCGAAGGGGAAACCGCGCCGAGGCATACTCATTCCGAGAGTCGTTTTAGTCGCTCTGTCTCTCTCGCACCCGTAGGGGACGCCCTCTGAGTGCGAGAGAGACAGCGCGACTCTCTGAGTCAGTCTGCAGCCCCGGTGGTCGCGCGGCCGTCGGGCTGCCCAGTGGGGCTGCCGCCGCACCTGTCCGCCAGCTGACTGCAGCTGACTGCAGCCGACACGCCGGCAACGCCCCACGGCTCATTCCCTCTCCTCCAACAATAAAAGCAATAAAAACAAAAGAAGTAAACCAATTAGCGAGCAGTCAGCGGCAAAACGCTGCGGAACGAGGAGAAATGCGCGGGGGTGGGGACTGGATGAAGCGGACGCGGCGCGGCCGGGGTCAACGGGGCGCCCTTCGCACTCCCACGCCGTGCGAGTGTGTGTAACTGTGCGTTGTGTGAGAAAGAACGATAGATTTCAAGTGTGTGTGTCGGTGTGTGCGCGCGCCAGCACGGCACCCTGTACCGGCCTCCGGCTTCCCGTGAGCCTAGCGCCTTGCAGGTAGGCAGACCCGCTCCACAGGCGTGCTCGGAGCCTCTGCCGGTGGCCTACCTGCCGGGCGGGCCGCCAACCAGAGTTGGCCAAGTAACCACGCGCTGCAACCACGCCACACTTTCCGATTCTCTCGAACCGGAAGTATGGATCAGGAAGCACTACACTGTACATCTCGCAGTGGTGCGGTGGTGGGGGGCGGCCACACACGAAGTAGTCAGCGGCGCTCTTTAGCCCCCGGGCCTGGCCTTTGGGTCGCACCTCTCGTGCCTCTGTGTGTTTGTGTGTGAGTGTGGTGCCTGTGTGGGGCAGGGTACCACTACAGTGGGAGCAGCAGTGCAGTAGCACAGTTACGGTACGGTCCAGCGGCCACCACACAGCCCCGGGCCGTCTTACATCTTAAACATTCGAATATTTTTTACATCTTTTTTTTTTTTTTGCCGCACTTGGTGCATTGCGGTTCCGCACTGGCGCTGTGCCTTTCGCAGTGAGGCTGCTGCCGCGCCTTCCGCCTCGCGTCCGCGGCTAATGGGAGGCTGGACATCCGTTTTGCTCGCTTTGCTGCAAATGTGCGCGGACCGGGCCATTCCCGTTGCCGTGTGTAATCACTGAAAACGCCTCGGCGCATCCAGCCAGGCGGCCGCGACGCATCCAGCAGACTCATTCCGTCGCTCTGTCTCTCTCGCACTCACGGGGCGCCCCGTGTGGGTGCGAGAGAGACAGAGCGGCGAAGGACGACTCTCGGAATGAGTCTGCAGGCGGCCAATCGGAAGTAGGTCATAGGGTTCGGACGCGCCTCGCCGCGGCTGGCCTGGCGGAGCGTCTTCGCGTCTTGGAGTCCTGGACTCAGTCGCTCCTTTCCGGCCATTCGCGCGTCCGCCGCGTCGGACACGTCGCCGCGGCACCGTACGCTGAGGACGCGCTACGCGCAGCGCGCAACGCCCCGCCGTTTTTGCCAGTGGAGGGAAGGGAATGGGCCTGCCGGGCCCGGCGGCCAGTCTCACGGACCACTCCGATTAATCTGCGTCGAGACAATAAAAGGAATAACTGCGCCGCCCGGCGATAATTCGAATCACACACACTTCATCCCGGCGAGGCGCGAGGCAGTGAGGCCGCGCGCTCTTTCTATTCGGGGCGTCTCTCTGATTGAAGCTCACGACGTGTTTGCGGCCGGCCTGCCCGGCCTGCCCGCCGACCTGCCAGACGTACATCATGGCGGGGACCCCATACGGGGCGAGCACCGGGCCGCTCTCCCACTCCCAGCAGGTGCGGCCTTCAGCGGCCTTGCGAGGTATGCGGCGCGGCACGGCGCGGCGCTGCTACCGGGCCCCGCGAAGCAGCGGACCCGTCGAGTCAGGGCCCCAGGGCTCGATATAGGTTCGAGTTCATTTGGAGCGCCCCGCCCCGCCCCGCCCCGCCCCGCCCCGCCCTTTCGGCTCCTAGTAGGGCCTCACGCGGACGGCCTGACGGCCTGACGGCTCCTCGACGCGTGGCGCTCGCGCCCCGTCCGCCTGCTCTGCGGTGGGGCCGATGGGGCCCAGAGCCTGACACCATTAGAGAAAGTAAACACACGCCTGGAACGGTGCAGCGTACAGCGACCTGGCCGGCAATACACTCCTCGCGCGACCAGCTTGAAAGTACCGTCGCTCTCGCGCGGGGTATGGCCGACCGTGCTTCGTTCTGCGGCCAAAGCGATGAGAGTTCCTCGAGCTTGTCCGAAAATCGTTCAAAAGACACATACCGGCCGGGCCAGCAGCGCGACGCCGAGGCAGCTCGCTACGCACGCCACGCACGTCCTCTCCGCCACTGCGAGTCCTGTCACGCCGCCTGCCTACGACCGCGTGTGTGTGTGCGTGCGTGAGCGTGTGCGTGTGTGCGTGCGTGAGCGTGCGCCGGCGCGGTGTAAAACAATGCGTGGACACATTCGCGCGCCTGCTTGGGACTTCACTCGCTTCCCGGCAAAGAAGGGAAGGAATTGAAAAAAGGACGGGACAAAATCGCGACGAATATCTGACGAATCCAGACGAATCTGACGAATATCGCGATGAATTCAAGAACCCTGCTTGACCACCGCTTCCAGGCGCTTCGAGAGGCGGAACGGGGGAGGCTGATGCTACTTCCGCTTCTGGTTCCGGTCTGCCGGAGGGAGCGGTGGCGGAGGAGGCGGGAGATGGGACGGGACCGCGGGGAGAGAGAAGATTGAAACCGAAAGTCGATCAGCCATCCAGCCGCCCGGAGTCCCGGAGCAAGCCAACCAATCCCACAACCAGGCCGCGGCGGCAGGCGGCAGCAGCCCGGTGCATATGGTGGCCTCCTTCACGTCCACGCCCGCCCCGCCCCGCCCCGCGACGGACTCAAACGATCCAGAAATGGGAAAACAATCATGGAATTGGAAATGAGTCGGCCGCCCTTTCGCCATGGCGACGACGCTCGACACGACGAAAGCCGAGCAGGCGCCTCTGTGGAGTCCGCGGCAGGGCCGAGGGCACGGCACGGTCCACCGCACCGCCGCAGATTCATTCATTCATTCGGCCAACAGTAATTGCGGAGTCGCCGCGTCGCGGAGGCAGGCCGTTCGCACGTCGTTCCGAGCGGCGCCGAGGCGCCGAGGGAGCGCGATGACCACGGCCAGCCCCCCAGCACAGCGCAGCACCGCAGCGGGACGAGAGCGCAGCACCGCCACTTCCCAAACGGACCCGAGCGGACCGCGACGCCGCGCCTGCAGGCAATGACTTTCCCGAAGTATTCGCGGCAGGCGTTGCAGTGGAGCGCCGCGGCAAGGCCGTTCCCTGCACCTGCATTACCTCCGCCGGCCGGCGGCGACGCCCTGGCGTCGGTCAGTCCGGCGCCGGGACGGCCGGGACGGCCAGGTCGCCCCTTCCCCTCCTACCGAACCTCTGGCGATGCGTCCGCTGCGCCGCCGCGCGTCCAGATGCGAAGGAAGTTACCTTCCAAGGCCGCTTCGCCTCGCCACCGCGGTCGCCGAGTTATTTGCATGGAACTTGTCCAGCCCCGCCCCGCCCCGCACCGCCCGTCAAGGACGTGATGGACCTCTAATCGCGCGGCCGCTGCGACGGTGCGCCAGTCATCTTGTTGTTCATACAACTTTATCCTCATTATGGTTTGACTGATTTTCCCCCCTCGCTGCTGCAGACTGATTCCGCGAGCAGCTCTCCGCCGCTCGATTGTCTCTCTCGCACTCGTGGAGCGATCCACAATGGTGTGAGAGAGAAAGAGCGACGAGTGGACACTGTTCGGGACCAGCCTACAGTGCAGTGCGCGCGTTGGGCGAACCTTTCTGTAATGACTCGACGCGCGTTGTGGAGACCTCAACGCGGGGCGCAGTGCACAGCGCAGTGCACAGCCCGCACGATAGTCTCTCTCGCACTCATGGGGCGTCTGGTATGGGTGCGAGAGAGACAGAGCGACGGAAAGGACTCTCGGAATCGGTCTGCTGGCGACAGGCAGACGGGCAGTCAGTCGTCGTCGTCTCGGAGAATTCGGATCAGGCAACAATTTATCGGTGATTCGGCGTCCGTTTTACTCCTCATCCATTGGCAGGGCCGGGCGGAGCCTGTCTCTCTCGCACACCTTCGGGACGGCCCATGAGTGCGAGAGAGAGGGGCGACGAAAGCGCCGTTCGGAATCAGCCTGCAGGGCAGGCAGCCCCGGTCGCGGAGCCTTTAAACCCCGTTTAATTTGTTTACGCCGAGGACTGACCGACAGGTTGTGGCAGAGGGGAGGGGGAGGGGGAGGCACCAAGATCCCCTCGCCGGGCGACGCGATGCGGTGCAAGCCGATGAAGCAGCACCGAGCGGCCAGAAAAAAAACAAAAAACAAACGCGGTGACTTTAATTTACATAAATACAAAAAATTAATAAAGGCGATTAAGTAATTTTTTGCCGTGTCACCCGGCCGGCTTAATGTTTATATGTGATGACAATTGACGGTCGCCGCGTGCACCCCGCGCCGTGCCCTGCCGTGCCGTGCCGTGTCCGCCAGCCATTACCCGCGCGTGTAATGGCCCGGTCACGTGACGCCCACCCACCGCCGTGCAGGAGGCCGTGCGGGACGCCGTGCGGGACGCCGTGCGGGACGCCGTGCAGGCCGCGGCGGAGGACGTGCTGGAGGAGGCCGCGCTGGTGGAGGCCGTGCAGGCCAGGCAGCCCGGCCAGACCCACAACCCACACGAATGGGAAGGCGTGACGAATCAGATGAGGAAAGACCTTTCGATATCATGCCTTCGCACACACTCACACACACACACACACACACACACTGAGGCGTTTGGGCCCCGAGGCCCCAGCATGAGAGGGTGGATGCAGACTGGGCGAACGGGACCGCGTTGTGCCTCTCGGAGCGCATTCATGAAGTGCGCTCCTGCGCGCACTCCTGGGAGACGTCGTCCCGTCGGGTACACCTGTCAATTCGTTTAGAAACGCGGAAGAGAGAACAGAAAAAACCATGGTAGTTTGTCGCAGGAGAGGCACGCGTGCTCGCTC